TTTCAAAATTCTAGGAATACTCAATATTGTTGACATTAAAAAATATAAATATTTTTGCTATCTTATAAGAGATTTTACAGGAATGACAATTATTTACAAGTGTGCAGTCGGCACACCTACAACAATCCTTTTGGGATTGCCCTGTCGAGATTATGGGAAAACAAATTCAGAATGTCTTTTCTTAGAAAAATGATTTCTCAAAATTTTGTTGCAAATTAGGGGCAACCTTCAAGCATTGAGCACACATAAAAGAAATAGGTAAAAATGTACCTTAAGAATATAATTTATAATGAAGAAATATACAAGGTGAGATGAAAAAACTGCAACCAACTTCAGACTGCTGTCATTTCTAAACCGCTCGTCCCACAGCTGTCAGATTTATTCTAGTGACAGCTCATTATATTGTTTACAAGCGCACAAAAGCATTTTGGTGGGAATTTTTCAAAAAAAAAGTTATTTGTGATGGAATTCAAGCGTGATAGTGTGATTGCTTTGCATTTGGCTGGAAAACCACAAGTGGCTATCGTTAGAGCCCTCCAGCATTTAGAAGTGAATAAATGTTTTGTGTCTCGTACCATCGCTCGTTACCATGATACTGGTAGCGTAGCCCGACGTCAAGGAAGTGGACGAAAAAAAACAGCAACATCGGCAGAAATGGTTCGAAAAGTGAAAAAGCGAATTGAACGAAATCCGCGTCGCAGTGGACGAAAAATGGCTCGTGAGCTGAACATATCGCAATATGCCATTCGGCAAATATTGAAAAATGAGCTTGGACTAAAGCCATTCAAGTTCCAAAAAGTGCAAGATCTTACTGATGCGCAAAAAAAAGTTAGACTCGAAAAAGCTAAAGAGTTGTTTCGCTTGGCCGAAAGTGGTGAACTGCCGAATTTGGTTTTCTCCGATGAGAAACCATTCGTTATCCAGCAGTTTGTAAACAAACAAAATGATCGTGTTTACTTGCCAGAGAGGTCAGCTGAAAATTTGCAACTTCGGTTGGCCATCACAACTCAAAAGCCGGCCATGGTGATGGTGTGGGCCGCCATAACAGCCGATGGTCGCTCGCCGCTCGTATTCATCGACCGTGGTGTCAAATTAAATGCGCAAATCTATCGCGAAAATATTTTGGAGGGAGTTCTGAAGCCCTGGGCACGCAAACATTTCGGCCGCAGACCTTGGACATTCCAACAGGACTCAGCACCATCGCACTCAGCACGCGCCATCCAAGAATGGTTAAGAAATGAGGTTCCTCGCTTCATTTCCACCGCACAATGGCCACCAAAATCTCCGGATGCCAATCCGTTGGACTATTGTGCCTGGGGTATTTTGGAAAGCAAGGTTGGAACTAAAAAATACCAAAGTGTCGATCATCTCAAGCAAGCGCTTCGCCGAGAATGGGACAAAATACCGCAGAGCCACTTTCGGGCAGCGTGTGATTGGTTTCATTTGGCCGTTTGAAGGCCATAGTTCGTGCCAAAGGTGGCCAAATTCGAACAAATCTAAACCGATTTCTCAAATTTGATGTTATTTCCGACATTTTTTGCTTTCATTCAATAAAATTTAAAAAAAAATGAAAAAATTATGGCGTTTTACTTTGTTGCAGTTTTTTCATCTCACCCTGTATATGTCTACTTGTACATATAACGGAATAAATAAATATAATAGAACCTCTTTTTTGAAAGGTGACTAAAATTTAAAAGAAAAGAAGGCAATGAAAAAAATAATGGAGTGTGAACAAGTCCACTTGAAGAACTGTTAACTGAAGATAATATCAGTATATGAAAATATGCATATTAATTATTTAGTCCTAGTATGTAGTAACTTTTACAACTCATTAGGGGCCTTGACAGACGTAGATACAGTCTTTTGATTCAGAATGGTTCTCAATTCGGGGTTCTATTCAACGATTACAGCGAGTCAGAATAGTAAGTAAGAAGAGGACATAGAAACTATTACTCAACTACTCAGTCACTGATGCCATTTGGTAAAAGCTGAATGAGACTATTGTAGCGTCTCATTCCTTAAGCCAAGATTCGACACTTTGCATACAGTTTCGTCATTTACGGAACCATTCTGCGAATGGTATTACCTCGCCACAATATGAAGGAAGGATATTGTCGAAGAATATTAGAGTCGGAAAAACCAAAATTTTTTTTTTTCTAAAATTTATATTTTTAACACGTGTTCTCAGCTATTAAATAATATATTAACCATTCAGAAACATAATTGCAACTCAGATTAACGATATGAAATATATATCTAAATTTTAGACTTCGTTTCAAGTGCATGTTTCATTCTTCAAACACTCAAATTTTGTATCAGTTTTAGTTTGTATCTCAGCTAAATATTTGAAAGTTTAAATCAATAAATATAAAATGAAATAAAATCATTGGCCTTTTCAATTTTGCACTAATCGAATCTAATAGTGTCTAAAACGCATTTGTCACCAGTCAGTCGCGACTGCAATGCAGTGATTTATTTCGTTTATGTTCGAGATACAATTTGTTTGTTTAGATTAGTTGTACAGATAACAAAACTTGTTCAAACATTTTAAAATAAAAAGATACAATTTCCAATACACGAAAATCAGAAATACTCCATGCATATAATTCAATTAGTTTTTATTACGGATTTTATTTATTTTTATGAATTTGTTGTTTAATTTGTTATCAGCAACCAATAAAAGCATGTGTCATTCATCTCTTATCTGTTGATATATTTAGGAAAACTATTTGCTGCTTCTTTGGTATTACTCCATATTGTCTTATCAGTCTAATGAGTGTTGAAAGAAGTAATGCAGTAATAAAAATAAATAATCATAAATAAATACTGATATTTATTAAACGGCTTAAGATAATACAAAACATTTATGGAGTGGTTTCTGTGGAGATAAAGATGTTGCTGTGATTTATTTCTGTTTATTTAAAGTTGCTACTACCGTTTGGCTTTTGTTCCATTCGGACTGCTATGCAAATAAATCATATAAGTTTTATGATTTATAGCCTAAATACACAACAAGTGCTTTATATCATATTTGACAGAAAACTATGATATCAGCCACTGATACGACTATGGAGAACTGCACTATCAGATAGTTTTCTCTCACTCCACTCCACAATAATTTAAAATGAAAATTAATGTTTGTTTATGTGTAATACGGTAGAGTAATAAGACACTGATTAAGTGTTTATAATCCGCTTAGTGTGGAAAACCACGAAATCAGATACTTTTTAATGAAGCCATTAATCAGTTGAGATGGTCAAGCGTTTTTCTTTTATTCTTTTGAGTTTATAGCAAATTCACATGCATTTAAAAGTTCTTTTGTTTGGGAATTAAATATTAAAATTTGGTTTTGTAAGAAAAACTTCTTAAAAAGTTGAAATATACTTAAAAGATTTTAAGAGAAAAAAAATCATAGAAGAGTTAATGGACTTAAGAAATATTACTTAAACTGTATGGCGTAGACTAAAAACAAGAAAATAGAGTAATTTGGTATAAATCTTTATCTACTAGATTTATACATATAAGTGAGTGAATTGTGGCAAACGGTCTAGTCAACCAACTCACTAAGAAAATATGGATTAATTGTGACACGACTGTTAAATGCAGGATCGTAATTGCTATTTACTTATAGAACCACTTCGAAGCTGTAATAAAGTTGTGTTTATACGTAGGTGAAGAGAAAGGTGATATAATCCCTTTAATTAGTCAAAAAGGTTTTTTGATTTTGCATTTTTTGTAGTTATGGGAGTTGATTGGGTACATTAAAACTCCTTAAAAGGGTATTTGCTTTGACATAATGTTGTACATAATGTTTAATATTAAAATGGTCTATACTATACCTACTTTAAGAGCATTTCGTGACTATTAGTTTACAGAGTATTTATTTAGTAATTTTGTGACTTTTACTGTTAATATATGAACTTGTTTTAAGAAAATAGGCGACAAACGTAGATATACTGAAATTAAACCATTGCTTCGGACAGTTTAGCTACCATCAAATGTCTGGTAGGCACTATAGCCACTTCTTTAATAATATGAGAATACCGAGCTTCTCTTAGCGAGATAGCTAGGTGTCTTAGTCTACAGCGTAAGTACCGAAACACAGGTATATCACGTGCAATTCAGTGGCAGACAAGGAGCATATACTCTGCTGCTCCTTGACATTAAATTCTCAGAATTTGTTACCCAATTTGCAAGAGCGAAGCTGGCAATGAAAGAAAAATATCTAAGTATAATTAAACAAAATTGGGCAGATGAAATCTTCTAACAGATTTCAAGCATTATCTGGTCAAAAAAGTAGAAGAAACGTATCAGTCTGCTGTTTTTTTAATAAGAAAAAACCTGCTTACCACTATGCTATTAGTACTGATAGGTCACTGTGTACTAGGAAGATATGCTAGAGACTTTCGTTGGAGTTGTGGCTCTTTGGATAAGGAGAAAACTGTGCTTTACTTTATGTATCAGTGTCTATCATTGGCTAGGAGAAGATTTGAAATATGACAGACGGAAGAGAGCTATTATCCTGCAAAATTAGGGACGTGGTCAAATTTATAGACTTGTTAGGTTTGTTCCCTTTTATTCAAGTGGGAGAGTCCTGCCTTTTGGCATTGGTATCACAACTTGCCATCATTTGAGCTCAAGCGGGCTTTGAGCACAAGGTCGTCACTCTAACCTAATCTAAATCACTCTAATCTAAATCAGTGCTGTTGAATAACTAAAGTGACCGAAAAGAATTTTTTTTGAGACAACTTTTTTGATGTATTAAAGGTTGGAATTATTGTATATAACTGGATATAGAAGTAGCTATGAGTATTTATAGAATAACAATGGGTTATGCGGTTAAGTAAGTGTCTACGTATTCCTTTAAGGACACCAGTCCCATGAATAATCTAATGCTTTTCTTAGAATTACATTTTTTTGTTTTTATAAAATATCAAATTTATTAATGTCTATTTTTTTATTCAATTTAATATAAAAATATATGCTTTCTATATCCTTACCTCTTTTGTTTTCGAGTTGCTGCTGGTAGGATTTTCCCTTCTGTGTTCTGGGTTGGTAGTGCCAAAGCGATTGTATTGAAAAAGACGTCCCATACTTTTATTTTTTACAAACAATTTTTAATATTGCAATTAAATTTTCAATTTTGTATTTAATAATTATTTTTAAATAATTTTTTTTTAATGTCAGTTATAAGTTTTCGTTTTGCACTATTTATTTTATTTTTATGTTTGTTTTTTTTTTGGGCTGCACACAATTTCAATTAAAAAATTCGATTCGATGCCTTGTTTTCGTATAATGACAATTAATAAAATTAATTCCTTCGATCGTCCGCGTATAATTATTTCAGCGTAAGTAAATACTTCCGTTTCGTACGTATTGTATATTTGCTATTTGCTATTTGCCGCCTTCGCCGTCTTCACCGCACCGTGCACAATATTACGAGTTGTGTATTTTGTCGAGCGATCACTGCAACGAGCGCACATGGAATGATTCTTGCATGCATACGAATTCGGTATCAGCAGTCAACATTTCAATATGAGTTCAGTGCAAAGTTTTTGTGTAAATAAGCAGCAGAGGAGAAAAAAAAGTATTAAAGAATAAAAACAGAAACAGAAACTGAAAAAAAAAGTGAATACAAAATGAACAAAATGAATTAAAAATACACTCCAACACTGCTCAGCCCAGCAGCAAATGAAGAAAAACTGAAAAACCACTCAGAACGTAAAAAAAAAAACAGCGACAGTAACAACAACAACAAGACAAACCAAGGCAGAGCCACAGCAACAACAACACGAAGAAAACTGTGAAAAACTATTAAAACGACGAGTACCTTTCGAGCGCTGCACCCGTACGCTACGCTGCTGCCGACGTGCGGTACAGGCTATGGCATACTCAGTGCATTCATTCCCTTATGTTGTTGGTGTAGTTGTTGTTGTTGTAAGCGTAGTTGTGTTGTTGTCATCGTAGTAGTAATAAAATGCACGCGGTTCTGTCTTTTGAGTATGTTCATTCGTCCATTTATTTGCTTGACTATTTGACTATTTGACTGTTCGACTGTCTGTTATGGCTGTTATGTCTGTCCACAACAACATTCATTCACTCATTCATTCATTTACTCATTTGATTGCAGTGCACATATTTATGTTTTCCTATCTTACTATTTGTCTGCTCTGCCTATGCCAACTTTATTCCGTTTGGTTCATTTTGTAGTAAACACGGTTGATACACTCAACCGTGCACAACACATGTGCACATAATGTACGTATGTATGGCAGTGTTGTCTGTTTAAAATTTGTTTTACCCTCAAACGTGTACACGTGTATTGCTTATGTTAAGTTGCTTGTGTGCAAGAGTGTGTGTGTGTGTGTGTAATGAGTTTGAGTTACCCTTGCTGCTGCAGCGCACATAATCAAAAAAGTTAGGCAATTTTTCTTCATATGCACCTTTCTTCTGCCCCTGTTTTCCTTTAATTTGCTCACTATTTAGACTTTCCTCGATTCTTTTACACTACGCCACACACTTAAACACACCACACCATACCATACCATACTATACTATACCACTTCACACCACACAACAGTTCACTCAAAATCAGTCAGTGGCAATGCAGTCCTTATCATATATTTAGTTCAAATAAAAAAAAACCAACCAACCAACAACTTAAAAAAGGTGAAGTTATAAAGTTTTCAACTGAGGCATTGCAGCGTAGTTTTGGGCCTTAAAATAATGAAAAAAAAACCGCATCCTGAGTGATTTAATTTTGTATACTGTTTGCCGTGCATAGAAGAGGAACGGAGCGTCATTCTGACAGCCGACAGCTCGCCGGTTTGGCATGGTGTCATGCACTCATTTGTTGAATTATGAATTTCGCCTGCTGCTGTCCTGCTTGCAACTGTATTCGAGTGTATCCTTATGCCAGTGTCTTATTTTCATATTTACGTTTTTTTGTTTTTTTTTTGATGAATGCAGTTCAGTTCTTCCTTTTTAATTTACTCCTTTTTCAACATCAACTTTTTTAACCTTATTTTAGTTGTATACTCTACTTGTGACTGACTTGTGTCCTTATTAACGGCACTTTAAGTTTTGAGGTTGCTTTTTTGTAGATGCTTGTTTATGTTTTATTATATACAATATATAATTTTTTATTATTAATTTTTTATTTTTATTTTATATTCATTGTTAAGTTATTAACCTTAAATTTTGCTCTCAATTTCGTCCTTTTAAGTTTTATTAGTGTCATCATAGTTTCGAAAGTACAATCAAAACCCTTCAAGCCAGACCACTTATCGGTAGCAGAATTCCAATTGCAAAAAATTAAACAAAATAATAATGGGAATATATGTATCAAAATCTGTAAGTCAATAATGAGATCCTTGTATTGTAAGGAATAGTAGTAAATAAATTGGGGGCAGTTGGAAAAGCAGTTCCAAATTACCTGATATATATATTTTTTATTTAACTATGAAATAATTGTGCAATTTCTGTACCAATTAAACTCATTAGACTAAATGATTTATGATTTACGATATTTACAGAAAATATTTAATTTATTTATTAATTTTTTATTCTCCAGTAAAACATCGAACCATGAAAAACATCGAAAGCCACAGTCTGAGACTTAAAGCCACTAAAGCCACCTGTTAGATAGTCATATGTGGAACATTATATATGCTAGTCTTTAAGGTTTCGCGGTTGAAACCCCACTTCTGTTATTAACCGCGGAAAGGAGAGCAGACAGGCTTAGTAATTAACAAGTTAAATTTATCAAAGCCAGAAAAGCATAGTCGAAATGACTTACAAAGGAGAGTGTTTATAGGTGCTGGATTGGCACAAGCTTGTGGAAAGACTAAGCTAGGCGTAAACTTAACACTCGGAGTTGTAGCGAACCCGATTATACAGCGGAATGTGTCGCAGGTGGTTAAGCTCCCCCTCATATTAAGGAAAATAAGGTGGCTTATGTCTCATAGCCTTAATAAGTTTAGTTCGAAGGCTTAACCATGCGAAAACTTTTTAACAAGTTAATACAAGCATTTGTGTATTCGAGTACCTTTAACAGAACCAAGATTTAAAGTGGTTTTTAATTCTCTAAGTTCTTTTTACATGGTAACACAATTGACTTATAAACCTAAGTGGACCTTTAGGATCACAGATATAATCTAACCTTGGTCGATTGAAAATTAATATCTTGTTGTAAGGTTTCTCACATAATCTGCGTCTGCAGTTCACACAATTATTAAGAGCTCTTCTTTCGAAGGTCTGCAGCAATTCCTTCTAGTAGGAGTTAATTCTGGACCAGATGGGAAAGACATAAGAAAGAAGGAGAAGGTTTAAAGTTAATTGACTTAATAGTTTAATCAATGTATTCATATTTCATGATTAAATGAATTAAGCGCTACTCACATAACAATGTTACTCAACTTTACACTGTTACACTGTTAATAGATTACAGTAAGAGGGTAATATAGAATATCAGTACGTAATAAAGCAATAAAAAGAATGACAATAAGAGATCTTATTTCAAGATCTCACATCACATTTGATTCAATGAAAACTATATAGAACTACGGGACTCATTCGTAAAGAGTTTGCCTAACAATACCTTTTGTAACAAGAGTCCACATGCTTTTCAATTCAATAAAAACCATATGGTTGTATTGGTTCCTGACAATTGTGTATCACGAGCAGTCAAAAGCGGCAGAAATTTCACTTACAGATTTCAAAGAATTTGAAGACCGGTTCCTTTTAGTTTCATATTTGAATAATTAAAGTTAACAGGCACATATGTCGTGTTCAGAAACTAATAAATAATCTGAGTTAAGATCGTTTAGACTTAGAACTCTGCCAACATTTTTATTGGTGACTTGAATGAGTAACCTTAGATTACCTAAAGTCCTCGGTAATGCTGCAAAAGGACATCTTTGTGTCTTATTAATAAATTAATAAAATATTTTTAAGCAATTTTTTCAATTCATATTAATTAATCAGAATTTAATTAAGATATATACTATTTATATTCCATTTTCTAATTTGCTTCTATTACAAAGTATTATGTATTTGTTCATTCATTCATTAGGCAACTTTGTGTTGTGCTTTTAGAACAAATTACCTCAGAGTAAGTATTGCTCCAGTTTTATTGCATAAGTACTTGAACCTCATAGAAATTTATTATTTTAGTCTGCAAGTGAAGTACTTCTGTGTGTTTTTGTTTCTGCCTCACAACACGCAAAGTACAAACATTTAATATGTAAATAAGAATAAAAAAATTGAATATATAAATACGAACTCCGCAATAAA